CACAGTGTCCCCACCCCAATGCCATCCCCAAGCCCCATTGGTGTCCCCATCCCTGATGCCATCTCCAAATCCCATCAGCGTCCCCACCCCTGATGCCTCCCCCCCCCACCCCATTGGTGTCCCCACCCCTGATGTCCCCGCGGTGTCCCCAGGGCTGGACGGGCTGATGGAGCGCTGCGCCCAGTACAAGAAGGACGGGGCCGACTTCGCCAAGTGGCGTTGTGTCCTCAAGATCTCCGAGCACACGCCCACGCGCCTGGCCGTGATGGAGAACGCCAACGTCCTCGCCCGCTACGCCAGCATCTGCCAGCAGGTCCCCGTCCCCTCCCCGCAGCCCTCCCTGTCTCCAACCCTTGTCCCCCTGTCACCTCCGGGTGCTTTATGGTGGTCGGTGGCCTCCAGGCTGCAGGGTGACACCACGAGGTGGCACCTAGACGTAGCGTGGTGGCACCTAGACATGGTGTGGTGGGACGTAGACATGGTGTGACGGTACCTAGCCATGGTATGGTGGCACCTCCATGCCGTTGGGTCACCTTAGTGTCCCATCCCCCCCATCTCACATCACTTCCAGGCACCCTGCGGTGGCTGGTGGCCTCCAGGCTGCAGGGTGACACCACGAGGTGGCACCTAGACCTGGTTTGGTGGCACCTGGATGTGGTGCAGTGGGACGTAGACGTGGTGTGGTGGTATCTAGACAGGGTACGGTGGCACCTCCCTGCCCTTAGGTCACCTTACTGTGTCCCCACCCCATCTCCGTGTCACCCTGTGATGGTTGGTGGCCTCCAAGCTGCCGGGTGATGCTGTGAGGTGGCACCTAGACGTGGTGGCACCTCCATGCCCTTGGGTCACCTCAGCGTGTCACCTCCCTGTCCCCAACCTGTGTCCCCTCTGGGTGTCCCGTGGTGCTTGGTGGCCTCCCAGCTCTAGTGGGTGTCACCCAGGCAAGGCACGGTGACGCGAGGTGGCACCGAGATGTGACATGGTGGCACCTCCACGTCCCTTCCTGCGACCCCAGGGCACCTGGGCCACTGCCGTGTCCCCGTGCCCGTGTCCCCTCCCAATCACCGCGGGGTTGTCCCTGTCCCCAACGTCCCCCATGTCCCCACAGAACGGCATCGTCCCCATTGTGGAGCCTGAGATCCTCCCAGATGGTGACCACGACCTGAAGCACTGCCAGTACGTGACTGAGAAGGTGGGTGACATCCCCAACGTTTCCCAAAGCGTCCCCACTGCGCCCCCGCCGCGTCCCCACCCATTGGCCATGCTGGGGCGCCCCACGCTGCCCGTCCCCCCCAGGTGCTGGCAGCTGTCTACAAGGCGCTGAGCGACCACCACGTCTACCTGGAGGGGACGCTGCTGAAGCCCAACATGGTGACACCGGGCCATGCCTGCACCAAGAAGTACAGCCCCGAGGAGATCGCCATGGCCACCGTCACCGCCCTGCGCCGCACCGTGCCCCCCGCCGTCCCCGGTCAGTGCCACCTGGACCCTGTCCCCGTGGCCGTGGGCCCGTCATGTCCCCATCCTCATGGGCATTTCCCACAGCGTCTTCGTCCCCATGGCCGTGTCTCCACGGTGTCCCCATTCCCATAGCTACATCCCCGAGCTGTCCCCATCCCCATGGCCACGTCCCCACAGTGTCCCCATACCCGTGGTATCTCCCCATGGACAAGTCTCCATGGTGTCCCCATCCCCATGGTGTCCCCATCCCCATGGCCACGTCCCTGTGGTGTCCCCATCCCCATGGCCATCTCCCCATGCTGTCCCCATCCCCGTGGTCATCCCCATGGCCACGTCCCCATCCTGTCTTCATCCCCATGGCCATGTCCCCATGGTGTCCCCATCTCCTTGGCCATCTCCCCATCTCCATGGCCGTGTCCCCATGGCCACGTCCCTATGGTGTCCCCATCCCCATGGCCATGTCCCCATGCTGTCCCCATCCCCGTGGTCATCTCCCCATGGCCATGTCCCCATCCTGTCTCCATCCCCACAGCCACGTCCCCATGGCATCCCTGTCCCCACGGCCATCTCCCCATCTCCATGGCTGTGTCTCCATGGTGTCCCCATCTCCTTGGCCATCTCTCCATCCCCATGGTGTCCCCATCCCCACGGCCATCTCCCCATCTCCATGGCCATCTCCCCATGGTGTCCCCATCTCCTTGGCCATCTCCCCATCCCCATGGCCACGTCCCCACAGCACCCCCATCCCTATGGACTTCTCCCCATGGCCCCATCCCCACGGCCATCTCCCCATCTCCATGGCCGTGTCCCCATGGTGTCCCCATCTCCTTGGCCATCTCCCCATCCCCATCTCCACGTCCCCACGGCCATCTCCCCATCTCCATGGCCATGTCACCATGGTGTCTCCATCTCCTTGGCCATCTCCCCATCCCCATCTCCATGGCCGTGCCCCCATGCTGTCCCCATCTTCTTGGCCATCTCCCCATCCCCATGGCCACGTCCCCACGGCACCCCCGTCCCTGTGGGTGGCCTCCTGACCCCTGTCCCCATGTCCCCAGGCATCACGTTCCTGTCGGGAGGCCAGAGCGAGGAGGAGGCGTCCCTCAACCTCAACGCCATCAATCGCTGTCCCCTGGCACGGCCCTGGGCCCTGACCTTCTCCTACGGGCGGGCGCTGCAGGCCTCGGCGCTGCGGGCCTGGGCTGGCAAGAAGGACAACACCAAGGCGGCCCAGGAGGAGTACGTCAAGAGGGCCCTGGTAGGTCACCATCACCCCCCCTGGGGACATGGAGGGGTGGGGGACGTGGGGACAGCCAGGGCACGGTGGGCATCTCAGGCATGGAGGGGACTCAGGGAGGGGCCAACGTGGGCCAAGAGGAGAACGTCAAGCAGGTTCTGGTAGGTCACCCATGGGGAGGTCAGGGGGATGGAGGACGTCTTGGGTGGGGAGGGGACATGGAGAGGGACAAGGCCAAGGTGGCCCCAATGGAGGACATCAACAAGGGTCTCGTGGGTCACCCATGGGCACGTTGGGGGGATGGAGGACATCTTGGGTGTGGAGGGGACACGGGGACACGGAGAGGGACAAGGCCAAGGTGGCACAAGAGGAGAACATCAAGCAGGTTCAGGTAGGTCACCCACGGGGAGGCCAGAGGGTTGGAGGACATCTTGGGTGTGGAGGGGACATGGGGACATGGAGAGGGACAAGGCCAAGGTGGCCCAAATAGAGGACATCAAGGAGGGTCTTGTGGGTCACCCATGGGGACGTCGGGGGGATGGAGGACATCTTGGGTGTGCAGGGGACATGGAAAGGGACAAGGCCGAGGTGGCCCAAATGGAGGACATCAAGGAGGGTCTCGTGGGTCACCCATGGGGACATCGGGGGGATGGAGGACATCTTGGCCAGGGAGGGGACATGGAGAGGGACAAGGCCAAGGTGGCCCAAATGGAGGACATCAAGGAGGGTCTCGCGGGTCACCCATGGGGACGTCGGGGGGATGGAGGACATCTTGGGTGTGGAGGGGACATGGAGAGGGACAAGGCCAAGGTGGCCCAAATGGAGGACATCAAGGAGGGTCTCGCGGGTCACCCATGGGGACGTCGGGGGGATGGAGGACATCTTGGGTGTGGAGGGGACATGGAGAGGGACAAGGCCAAGGTGGCCCAAGAGGAGAGCGTCGAGCAGGTTCAGGTAGGTCACCCATGGGGACCTCGGGGACATGGGGATGTTGGGGGGGCTGGGGACAGGGAGAGGGACACCATGAAGCTGGTCCAGGTGGAGGACATCGAGCAGGTTCTGGTGGGTCACCTGCGCGGGGACACGGGGGACGTTGAGGGCGGAGCACACCCAGGGTATGGAGGGGACATGGGGACACACGGGGACAAGGCCAAGGTGGCGGATGTCACCTGTGGGGACATGGGGGACGTGGGAACAGCAAGAGGGACACCACCAAGGCCACCCAGGAGGAGGACATCGAGCAGGCCTGGGTACGGCCCCGTCCCCCTATGGGGACACCGGGGGGGTGGACATGGGGACAGCCACAGGGGCTGGGCTCTGCGGGGTGGCACCGTGGCCGTCATGCCTTGGTGTGGTGTCACCTTCCTCGCACACGTGCCCGGGTGGTGTCACCGGTGTCACCTGTGTGTCTGGACGGTGCCACCACCATCAC